AGAAAAGCAGCAAATAGCTGTAGAATGAAGCGTAAACTGTCTAGTTTAAATGTTTACACTGCCTAAAGTTCAGCTTTAATAATCTCTAAAGTGACCCACAGGTATGTAAACGCACACTGGTGCAATAGCAAATGCATCCAGTTAAAATGTAGGTAAACCCTAACAATGAATTTCTCTTATTTGCTCCCTTTTGGTCAGTTAAATATACCATTCAAGTGTATTTTTATATCTGTTTCATAAGTGCAAAAAATCTTGTGAGCTGATAACTTCCTGTGCTCTCTGCCTGTACACAAGGAGGCAAATTAAGAGCAGGAGGGGGAGATGAGGAGAGCTCTGTGTTCTTTGTAAGCCATCAGAAATGAAGCAGGCAGGGCTGACACCACATGCTCAGGTATTCAGAGCCCAAAATACATAATGTTGTCAAAGAGGAAGGTAGGAGTATAATATATTTCTGACACACCGACAGTTATCTTTCTGTACACTGCAGTATGTTTAAAGGGATTAAACATGTATCCTGAGATGTACTAAGAATGTTTTGGTTTTTTTTATTCTGCCTTGACATACACTGCAACCAGTCTACACATGGGTAGAGATTTCACTGCAGTGCCACCAGCTGGTAAGATCAGGTACTGTCCCAACATCAAGTGCCTGCTCAGTGTGTACATGGAACCGAGAATGGGAATGGAAGAGGCACAAGGCATTGTTATTTAATACATATTGCAGATCTAGCTTCGCTTTGGACTGGCCACTAAGAAAGAGTTAAACTCTTTTCGCTTACTCACAAGGACAGGTATCCAGCCCTCCAGTTCTACAGAACCAAGGGCTGCATGATGTCTCAAACCTTATTGTGGATCAGTCACCCTGTTACAGGCATTTTTTTAGGGTAGGTGCTGCCCCAGAAATTCTTACAGGTAGTTATGCAGCCCCTCCCCTAACAATCAGTCCATTACAGCATTACGCATGCTATACATCGCTCTGAATAAACACAGCCCCCAGTCTCTCCTTTGGAAGTCTGATGAATTGAGGATTGTAAATCACTGAATGCCTGACTCTAAACTAGTGGAAAGAATGAACTCTGGATTTTGTACTGCAAAACAGATATACGCAATCATAAAATAAATAGGGAACTGCCATCATCCCATATAACTGAAAAGAATATCTGCTTTATGTCATTCCAAATTACCATTGTGGGCATTGCTGTGAAATAAAAGGCTCTGCTGCGGCGCATTTGTCTGAAGATGTACACTGCATCTAAATGCTGAGCGCTGATCAGATCCTGATTAAACTTTTCCACCTCAGACCAGTCTTTCAGTGCTATTCTTATCTGCAGGAGAGGAAAAAACAAGAAAGACACAAATTATTCAAGTGACAGTGTCTGTGTAAAGTAGGGATGTCCAGATACCAGTTCAGATACCAGTGCCGATACTTGGCATTTTCATGAGAACTACCAGGGTTGCAGCATTCGCAGCTGGGACCTGGCTCTGGCGCTCCCCCCACTGTCCTGAAATCATTAGTCTGTATTGTTTTAGAAAAACTGTCACATGAAAATAAACAAAAATGTATCAGTACTTGCATCTGTGAGTACTTGGGCGAGTATCAGTACTTGGAAAAATGGTATCGGTGCATCCCTAATATATATTTATAAACACAAAACCATACATTAAAACAGAGATGTCCAAAATCCCAGGAGCTCCGTGTGCTCCTTACAAATGACATCCACCTCCTAACTTTTTCTCTATTCTAGTCCTTGAGCTAGAAAAGTATCTGTACTTGTACTGAGTACAGTACTTGGTATCGGTGCATCCCTAAAGCTAGCCATACACAGCTAGATTTCTCTAGTTCAGCTCTGTGGGGTCTCCTATCCATGCTAAACAGTGTGGATAGGGGGATATCTTCTGCCAGCTATTGTATTG